GCCGGAGCTCCGAGTTGCTTTCTAACTTCTTAACTAGTTTCTTTCTGGTTCCTTTTTAACGCGAGCGGAACAACAGCGTCGCAGAATCCAGCTTAACAAGTAACGATTGCGAACGAGCGAGTGGTCCCACTAAATTAACAAAAGGAATGCCCTTAAAAGTTGATCATCTTTCTGCTCGCTCAGGCTTTTTCACTTCTGTCGATGCACTGTCTTTATGGTATCAGTATGTATTTTTCAAGTTGTCGGTAACAGATGAACACACGTTAAACTGGTTCCAGTGAGGGAGCTTTCCAAAGCTGTGCTTCTTGTCGCTTTTGGCTACGGAGTAGGACCTGCATTGTTGAGCGCAGCTACAGTCGGGGAGCAGCACGAGCAGAGCTGCTCCACTGGCAGGGACACGCCACGAGCCAGAGGTGACCGTGGCACCAGCCGTGCCCGAGGTCTGAATAGGGCGGCAAAGTTGGGGTGGTGGTAACGGGCTCCATTGGCAGCCCCAGACAAGGCAAGGCGGTGAATGAGGTCTGGGGTCCGACCAAGAAGTCCCATCAAGAGCAGCAGCAGACAGGGCCAGAGACAGGGCTGGCGGAAAGACTACAGTGCAGGTCCAAGGTCCATCCAGCAGACTGGGCAAGGACCAGAGATAGGCACACCTACAGCATCCCTCAGGGAAGAACAGGGGGCTCAGCGCTGGGTGCTCTTGGGCAGGGGGTCGGGGTCCCACCTTAGGTTGTTCAGGACAGGTGAGGTCTGCTGGTGTGCTCAGAGCCCAGAAGCTGCTTTTACTTCCCACAGTTGCATGGGAATGTCAACTGACTTGGTGTGCTGTGCGTCATCAAGAAAAAGCATCCTTTGGAAGGCTGTTGACCTTCCTCTTCACTAAAAATCCGATTTCTGATTGTTTCTATGGTAGGCAGGCAACACACAAGGCTGGCTGGCTGAAGATCTGTTTTCGGTTTTTATATTACAAGACGTGGGTTCCCCCAGAGTACTCGATGCTCCACAGGATCAGCCTTCCTGTTCTCAAGGGCTGAGTTTTATCTACCAGTAAACTTCAGTGTATTTATTATCTGAAACAGTACTGTGTTTTGTAATTGTGCAGTCATTAGGAATCTCCTGTCCAGCTCATGGAGTTACTTCAGGGTTTTTTTGGGTGGGGTTTTTTTGATGTATTTTTGTACCTTTAAAGAGCTTTCTCCCATTTTCCTCTTGTTTGAAGTGATACATAAATTGTAACTTACATTTTTGATTGACTTGGGGAGTGACTGGATGAACTAGATGCATGTGTATTCCTTATTCCCTCTCATAGCCGCATATACCTATAAAACTTGAGCTTTTCTTAGTCTGGTAATGTTATTAATGCAAGAAATTGACTTAGGGTCAAAATGTCCCTGCAATGCAGCACCAGGGAGAGACAGGAAAGACAAAAACATAAACCTTTTATGTTTTTAGCAGATACTATGCAAATCCACATCCATTATCCACACACATCAAACCGACTGACCCCAAATACCAACTAAAGCATCAAGGCCCTAGGGTTAGACAGTGCAACAATCTAAACTTGTTTTGGTCTAGCTAGTTTCAATTGTAAAAATATTTATCAAGTGGAAATAATTGATTTAAAGGCTGCCAGAAGCTTTACCAGGCTATAAACCTGTCAGCGTAAATTGTACTTTAGCACCTACGGTTTCCAGTTGGGTTTCTTGGTGATGTCTGTTGGCTAGAAGAGAGGCATCGTTAACAGCGCTGGGGAGCATTTGGGCCTCTCTTGAATTCCTCGTTGCCCATCTGCTGGGCTTCTGGTTTGAGAGAGCAAAGGACATAAATGGCATGACAAATCTTTGGCTTTCTGTGTTATCACTGTAACAGGGAAATGAGAATGTCAGAACAATGTCAATTCACATTCACTAAAGTTTCATCTCTGAAAGAAAGCAGATACTTGATACCAGCAAAATACCCCAAACCTTTGGCTGTTGAGTTTTGTTTGATTTTTCAGGAAAAGCTCTGACTGCTAGGCAGTTAGGTTTTGCATCATGTTTTCTTCAAAAACAACCACCTGATCCAAGACTTTTAACCACTAGACAACTGTGAAAACAGTTGGACCAGAGAAAACTTAAATGTCGCTTCAGCCTCTCTGTGACAAGGGGGTTGCGTTTGGTAGAGTTAAACTTTCCTTTTGCTGCCTGCTTTTCTTTAAACTAAACCATGGATTGCCCTACACTTAACCTTTTTTACAGTGCAGTGCTTCTGGTATCAGAGGTACAGAAAAAGCTGTCACAGTGTAATTACAACGACTCTTGTGTTTACTCCCAACTATAGCAAGACTAAGATTTTACTCCTGACCCAGAGAAGGTTTGCCTGTTCCTTGACTTATTCTCTAAACCTGCTCAAAGAGGTGGCAGCATTTTATTAAGTATTCAAGGACTTTTTCTTTACTAAGTTGTTCCCAGTTCTGAGAGCTCACTCCAGCATGAAAGTATCTTGAAGGAGTTCCAACTGTAGAAAGACCTGATGGGAAAGCAGGATCTGAATGGAATGGCTCTTTCTACAGGGTTGTGGTAATAGTTGGAAATTAAAGTGTATTAAAATTCTGCTTTTGAAATTACTAAACTGGATACTTTGTTTTAAGAGGTTAAAAGGTGCTATGATCAGACTTAAGCTTGTTTGCCAACATCATTGATGGAATAGTGTTTTAAATTGTATGAGGTAGCCATGGGATTAGTTAAGACATGTAAACTACATTTATAGAAAAAAATGGCTTGAGTTTAAGTTAACTATAGTTGTATTTTATTTCACGGTTCATATGCGTCGCAGGACTGAGGATCAGCACGGTTTGCATTTGTGTCAGACGTTCCAGGATATCAGTAGCCTGGTCTCATTTGTGTGGCAGGTTGTTGTTCAGTACACAGAGCCAGCCAGAACTGCAGGACTGTGGAAGATGCTCATCTTGCCAGAAAGATTACTTCATTACAGTAAAAAAAACCCCCATGTTATTCCTTCCAGACTTTCTACTGTCAAGGAGAAAAGTGAAAATGTAGTGCTAAGTACCTAAAATTTGTTTTCCAAACCCTTTCCAACAAGGTCATACTGTGATATTATCGATCCTTTTAAAACTGTTGTTTCTGAAACAGTTGCTTTCACAAGGAACTTCAGAGACGAGTTAAAATAATATTAGCGGTGCAATGTTGTTCTTGGCGTGTTCTTGAAGTTGCTTGCAATTCCAAAAATGTTGGGTGTTGTCTTTTTGTTTGTTAGGTCCAGCATATTGGGACAGCTCTGCGTATACAGTAAGGCAAAAAAAGAAAAATGTAATTGAACATCCGTATCTGTTGTGTAGTTCTGCTCCTGCCTGCAGCGTGTTTTTGTTTAATACATACACAGACAAGATTTTAGATGTATGCATAGTGAGTGTGTAGGTAATTCTGATAAACTGTGCAAAAGGCTGTAAAGGTGTTCTATATGGTTAGCGACATGAAGAGCATATTGGGTGGCTATAGGAAAGAGTTTCAGTAACTAATATAGGGAACCTTAGTAAGCTTCTGAACGTAAAGAAAATGTCTATGTTAAAAATGGGCAAGAACTGGTGTCTGGAGCCTCTCTTGGTGTGGAGTTGGTGGGAAACCACTGGGGTTAATGAAAGACCTTACCTAACTACAACTTGGTTTTTATCCTGAGTGATATTACTAATTAGATTGTGATCTTTCTCTTGGCATAAACTATTTAAAGTGAAGAAACGATTTGTTATGTAGTCTGCAGAGGAAACAGCTGCAGCTCTCTGAATAACCAGGTGTTGTATGTGACATTTCTTAGCTATTCAGCGTCTGGAACAGTTTTAAGGCTCTTCTCCTGTAATTAGAAAAGAGAAATCTACTGCTTTCGACTTTATTTAGTGGTGCTCATGGGGTAAATGTTTCTTTTTTATGAATAAATCTTGGAGTAAATGGAGGGAGAAAGTTGGAAATTCGCAATAGGATAAGTGAGACCAGAATTTGCCTTGTAGTGCTTCAGCCAATATTACTCCTGGCTTTCTGTTTCTCTAGCTGATAAGTTTGCCAGAGTTCCTGTGCAGGCTGTAAGGAGCCGATATGATCTGAGCCTCTGCTACAAGGTTTTGACTCTTAACAGGAGTGTGTATCTAAATTACTTCAGAAAAGTATTTTCTTTCTAAAACATTGATGCCATCTTAATTTCTGCTGTAAATTAGACTTTAGATTCTCAGGATAAATGTGTATTTTTTAGCTTTAGCCTTTTTAGAGCACCACTTCTGGATATTCCTAAATACCAGAGATCGCTAAGTCTGTGTGTACAGGTGAGGAAATGGAGGTACAGTGACTGTAAGGAGCAGATGCAAGGAGCGTGATGGAAGTTTCAGCCTTGGTATTGGGACCCATTTTGTGTCCATCTGGCCATTCCCGTGACATCTAGAACCTGAAATCCCTGGAAAATCAGAATCAGTTTCCTTACAGCTAAGTCGGACATCTTAGTGTACGGTCCCCCAAAACGGCATGCTGGACAAAGCGCTGCATAGAGTTAGATGACACAAAGGATGTGGGTGTCCCCTACTCCTTGTTATTCTGAGGTTTTATGCACTTTGCTGAGGATTCACAGCCCTGAGCCTTTGCCTGAGAGGAGCTGTGAGTGTGCGCTTCTGGCCTGATGGTTCAGGTTCTGCCAGCAAGCGTGGGTGGGTGTCCTGTTCGCTGCTCACTGAGA